CACCACCACCACCACCACCACCACCACCACCACCAGGGGGAGCCCTCATCACATCCTCCATGTAGGCCGTAGCCCCTGTCTGAACGACCTTTGCCCCCTGACCACAGCGGCGGTACCTGTGCCCCACATGCGGGTCTCCGCGGTCATCGCGCTGTGACCTCCCCGTGTGCCCTGGCTCGGTGCTGTGTCGCTGGGGCGTGGCTGGAGACTGTCGGGACGGGGGACTGCTCTCCGGGGGCGGCTGGTGGGTGTTGCTACGGTAGTGTTGTGGTTTGGAGTTGGGATAAGGTTGTGATTTGGTGCTGGTGTGGTTGCGGTGTGATTTGGTGTGGCTATGGTTGTGATGTGATTTGGTGCTGGTGTGGTTGTGGTGTGATTTGGAGTTGGTGTGACGGTGTTCTTGAGGAGAGGGCGAAGAAGCCGAAGGAGAAAGTTGTCTGAAGTGTGTAGGGTCTCCTGTCGTGAGGTGGCGACTACCTTCCTCCTCCTCCCATCCTCTAGTGACATCACGACCTCCTCCTCCTCCTCCTCCTTCCCATGACGTGAGGCCGGGCCAGTAACCACCACCACCACCACCACCCCGTGTATCGGAAAGGTCACGTCGTTCAGTCGAGGATGATGTTGAGCCCCAGTGTGACGCATTAGTGGCGCCCTCGAGCCCCGCAATACCGCCACCAGCGCCCAGCACGGAAGGAAGAGGAGGAGGATGAGGAGGGGGAGGAGGAGAGGGAGGCGAAGGCTGTCTACTATAAGACGGCGGAGAAAAAGAAGAAACGTGGTTTCGGTGAGGTCTGCTGTCGAAGAAGTCTTCCCTCTCTCTATCGTGTCGTCTCGTTCTTCCGTTTCGTCCGCCGTATCCGTCTGTATCGTCGTTCCCCCACCCTCGCCTGTCGTGAGCAGTGTTCGGCGAGCGTGCGTGTGTGTCTGTCTGTCCCCTCACACCCGCTGGTGAGCCGTACCGGAACGTGTTCTCTCTGTCTCTGTCTCCCCAAACGTTTGCCGGTGGATTATAGCCGTAACCATTTCCTCCTCTCCCCCCACCCCCACCCCTGCCTCCCGTCTCGTGGCTGTGGCCGACACACTCCCCACAACCCTCACCCTCCTTCAGTCTTGAACGTCGCAACGATCGGTCCCGAGTTCGAGTCTCTATGAGATCGGCTAGCGTAATCGTGCAGTTCTGACTTATCCCAGGACTCAAACCCCCGTCCCTGGCGTCCTGGGGTGAGCGTCTATACGGGGATCTACCTCCCCCTGGTGCGGCCCTGTGCCTATACCTATTGGCTGTGTCTGACTGGCTGGTGTGAGGGGAGACGTCTGCTGTGTATGATTCTTTGTTCGTTTCTTTTCTTCGTGTGTAATGGTCGTCAAAGCCGTTCCTATAGAGTTCACCAGAGCCTTGTGTGTATAGATCTAGGTCACGAGAGCCATTCTTATACATTTCACGAGAGCCGTTCTTGTAGTGACTATTACCAGGACCGGTTTTATAGTACGCATCACGGGGAGGATTTAGCGCGGTAATTCCGGGAATACCCTCGTCTCTCGGAACGTGCTGGGAACCCATGAGCTCTCTGAGGGAGAGGGGTGAGTCTTTTCTTCTGCCCTGACTATCGGAAAAGGACGATGGGGGGCAGTTGGAGGTGTCGTCCGTGTTGTTGTTGTCGCTCTCACACTTGCCGCATCGCCCAGACACACGACTCTCTCCTCTTTCTTCTTCTCTCCCCCTCATCGTCCTCTCTGTCCTTCTATCTATCCCTCTCCTCCTCTCTTCTGCCTCTCTCATCCTCATCTCCGCCTCCTCGGTCGTAGATAAACTGGCGGGGTGGTAATGATGGCGCTGTTGTTTTTGTTTCTGGTGACGTAACGACGAGTTCTGATGACGCAATACCGAGGGTTCTATCGTACCATCCATGGCTACACGGTCGCAGAAATCTGTTCGTCTATCGCCACCACTCTCGGAGGATAACATCACTTTTGGCTGCTTTTTGTAATCGGCGCTCTCGTTTAGCGGGCAGGTTTTCCACACAGACTTCCACGCCGCCCGGGGATTTGGCGGGTTTCCTGCTCCCTTTTTATCCCACACGTCATCTTTGGGGTCATAGTGTCCGAACCACCACGTGACCTTTGGTGACCTCAGGGGCGAGCAGCGGGACCTGCAGGGGGATCTGTTCGTAAAGAAAACAAAATAAATGGGTGAAGCTTTATACATGTATAGGAGCAGACGATTCCAGGTGGCACTGGAGAGAAACGTACGAAGCTGACAAAAAGAAATTGTGAGGCAGCGTGGTGGAATCAGGCTCTCGTCAATTTTTGGGCATGTAGATCTATTGGTATCATCGTAAAGCTTGTTCACTTGTCTTTATTTGGAGGAAAAAAATATCCATTTATCTTGAATGCAAGTCGAGATATTTGTGAATGAAGGAGGTGGCGGTCACCTGTTTTCAGAGGTAAAATTAGTGAGAAAATGGCCGCCAAAGATGAGTTGTTTCCTTAGCTAAAGAGTCCGTGGCAAACCGAAAATTTACATTTTTTGTGTGCCTTTAATCAACGTTTTGAAAAGAAATCCACTCAGAAATGAGTTCTTTAACGGGCATGAAAGGTGTTCAGCCAAAAAACGAAAAATTGATAAAAATTCAGAAACATGTGGAAAAATGCAAATTTCTTCACTTTGATTATTATTTGACGAGAGCCTGATTCCACCACGCTGCCTCACAATTTCTTTTACCATCTATGAAACTTAAAACATTGGGTGAAAGGACATTTGAATACCAAGACCCCAAGATCTGGAATGCTTTACCAAGTACTTTGAGAGAAATCAAATCTTTTGATTCATTCAAATGTCAGCTGAAGTCGTTTCTGTTTTTAAATTAATAAAATGAATATTTGGAATAATTTTCTTTAGTCAGAACCCAACGTTTCATGTTACTGTTGTATGTTGTACTGTATTGTAAAGCGCTCAGAGCCTGGGTACTTTATTCGGGGTTGAGCGCTATATAAATGTCATTTATTTATTTATTTATTTAGAAGGATGAAAGATAAAGACGATAGATGTTTGAAACGAAAGAAGGATCAAACCACACCAGACCACCAGAAGACCGATGATTCCAGACGTCAAAGGAAAATCGCGTAGTCAGGCAAAGGCAGTCAATGACTGACAAAAACAAGCTCATTTGCATGTGAGCTTGGCCTGCAAGTGATGAAAAAGCGCGGTGGACGCGGGGCCTTAACACTTTCAGAGCTAAACATTTTGACACATTCATTGCTGTCCTTTTTTCGGAATTCTTATAAAAATCAGGGTCGTCTGTCAAGGTGGTCCTTAACTTATGTTGAAGTCTGTAGTAGAAGACGTTTCTATCGCTGATTGTACGGTAGGTATGTGTCCCATGTTAAATGCCGTGGTGTTGTTAGCTCTTTCTTTCCTATGAAACATCTTTCCTCCTTATCTTTCCTCTTTCTTTCCTTCGTGTGTTACTGTCTAGTCCCACCTCTAATCGCCTTCACTAAAATGGCTTGTTTATTTTGCAGTTGTCATAAGACGTTTACTAAATACTAAAACAAGCGCATGGAGCTCGCGGCAGAGCGGAAATATGCCCTAAACGAATGTTATCTATTATTTATTATTAATAAATGCTTAATGTCACCCAAAGAATGTCTAAAAGCGAATATGGTTGGAAAGCGCCATTGATAAGTCCTTCACTTTTATTCTCCCTCTGATGTTCTGTCTGTCTGTTTTCCTTTTTCTCAGCACAAAGTGGCCGATAATATACGCAACAGAACACTGGATAATTATATAAATGGTCTACCGCTGTCGTAAAAGAGCACGGGTTAAACTAACACCCTTATCAACACTTTTAGGTTACCTCAGGGTTTAATGCTCGCCTCCGATAGGACTGAGAGCCTTGAAAACTCCACAAAGTGGGTGGTTGGCGGGTGCTCTGGTGTGGTTTGTTCCTTCTTGCCTATCAAACACCTATCGTCTTTATCTCCCCTCCTTCTTTTTTATGTTGGTTGCTCTCTCATAACACCTCTAATCTTCGGCACGTATTTGACCATATTGTGTTGCAAGTGCCGTAAAACGCTTACTAACACAACTCCACAAAACGACTTGAGTTCAAGAATGCCCAGCCTGGGATTCAAACCAAGGCCATCTGCTCCGTAGTCAAGCATGATACCGTCTGGTCTAACAGGGCGCCCCCGCGCTAGGCCTAGTATCCGACACAATTTCTTTTAGCACACAATGATGGTGGG